ATGAGAATGCCTTTAAGTTGAGTTTTGCAGTCTCATACAGTTTTAAAACAAAAAAATATCATTACTTTTTTAGGCTGATTTACACGGTATGATTTGTCGCGCGCGACTTGTGGTATACGATTTTCCTACTACAAGTCGTAGGATTTTAAGCAGTGGTTCAAAATCCTACTAAAAGTCGTAGGTTGCGTACGACTGTTGTAGACAAGTCGTAGGGGCATTTACAGTCTGCGTGATTCAAGTCGTATACTAAAAATCGCACGAGACAATCGTGCCATGTAAATCAGCCTTTACTGTCATAAGCATGAAATTCCATTGTAGTTAAAATATTTCTCAAGGATCGGCCCCAATTATGGGATTCACACCCTCATTTATAATGGATCACTGGGTACTCCCTCCTGGCAAAGACAACAGATTAAAAAAAGATAAAGACGCTACCTGATCTCCAGTAGTAATCAAAGGCATAACAACAGAGCCCTCTGTATTCTTGAGAATAGGTACCAGGCACATGAAAATCCTACCAATGACCCTTGGGGGACTGGTAGCTGGAAAACCTCCTTCGAAACACAAAACTCTTCTATAACTTAAGTGGTCGGGGAGAGGCTTTGACCACCAGCAGAAATACTGCTTTCTCAGATCCTCTTCTTTGTCTTCAGATAGATCTTCAACACTTATTCCAAGCTTTATTTGTAGTTGACCAATCAGTGAATAGGGTGTTGGAGTGTAATCACCTTGAATTRGGCAATATGCTATCGTTAAGTTTTTGCAGACTTTGTAAAGTATAGTCATAGCCATTATTGTAAATTTTTTCTTATAGAGCTTATAAGCATGACATTCACAACAAACGGCAAACAGCAGAAAACACCATGTGACCTGCTTTTTGGGGGTTTTCCGTTACAGTTTCAATGTGAGAGCGGGTTCTTGTGGGTTGCCATAATCGTGAAACGTCCCCCTTTCAAATGACTGCCAAAAGCACAAGGTCAGGCACAAAATTCTTAGGTCATTGGTTCAGCTCTGCCGTTGCCGTTAAGCCATAAACATAATGCTTAAACCCTCTAATATATCATTGTTCCTTGTGGATCATCTGGTAGCCAAAATAAATTCTGATATTTCTATGGCTCTGATATGGACCAATGTCTGGGGTTTGAGGTCAGAATTTTTTTTTACAAATTTACAAATTCCAAGGGTCTTTGGCCCTGAATAACCTCCTTTCTAACAACTATCACTTTTATCTACAGAATAGTGCTAATTAAACAATAGAAAACTACAGAATTAGCATAATTTAGCAGTATTTAGTGGTATTTATATGTTGCACAGTTTTAGTGTTTGTACTCTACGTAACGTCGCATAACACCGAATTGTCCAATTCCTACGTCATAGTGAAAGAGGATTAGTAAGAAATCGTAACAATTGCACTGCTGCATTGATACAAAACAAAACAAAACTGTAATATCTTAAAAAACACAATCTCCAGTGCAGATAATAACTTAATGATCAGCTAACTATGATCTCTTTGACCAACCTGGGAACGCAGACACGACAAGAACGTCGACTTTGTCCTCTSGTTGAAGTTTTGTGATATCTCCAACACACAGCTCGATTTGACAAGTACCAATATCACTCTCTAGGTGAAGGACATTAGTGGTTATAAGACCAGGAGCCATAATRAAACAGATTTGAACATAAAGGYTTAAATTCTAAGACGCCTTGTTTGCGCGATKTCGAAGAASTGTCGAGCTTGCAGAAAGTGGCTGGGTTTCCTGTGCTTTCCGCGACTGGATTTCAGTKTCAAAATTTAAAAATCAATAAATTTATATGACTTTCAGTATTATATTATATCTATATCCTTTGCCCTAATAAAKTACTTTAAATGGCGATGATTATTATGTATTTTTCCTTAGGGATTATTTTTAAAYCATTTCTTTAAATATTAAATGCGCATGATGCGCATAGGATCAAAAGTCGGAAGAAAACTGGGTACGAAAGTTTGTTCCAAGATGGCGCGTGATCGAAGTCAGTCTGGTGTCAGTTCTTTCAGCGAAAACACCATTTTCCTTGGTCCTAAAGTCCCGGACGAAGTACGAAAGATGACCTCTCATCTCAAATCATTAGATAAACAAGTATTTAGAAAGATTTTACAAGGTAAATGTAGTTTGAGCACAACTTCGACAAACTGTCAAACCACTTAAGCTTAGTTGATGGGCGCTGATGTGTTGAAGTTTTATACTTTTATATTTTTCTTGCGAACGATATGATCTCAATTGTAGTATAAGCATAAGCATAAACATACATAAGCATAAACATATATGCATATGTAAATTGTCCTACTAATACACTAGGTCTCCCTGACTGCAATTTTACCAAAGTATTGAGTATTACAAAATACAGCATTCTGATTAGCTATTGAAAAACTATCAATTAGTGATAGTCCATTGCAAACAGTCAAGAAAATAAGGACCAATAGGAAAGATTTAAAAAATGGAAAAGAGAAAAATCATGAAAATGCTGGAATGATTTGTTATTTTATATCAAGTCCTGTTGGTTGCTGTCATTCTTRCTCTTCCAAATCCCTATTTCTTATTATATTGTTGTTTTACATTCACAGTTATTGTGACATCACTAGAAGGAAAACCTGTGGAAGATGGCGTTCTTCAAAAGATTGCCGGRAACAATGTATCAGAGGACGTTGTAGGCTTAGTGTTTGCTGGAATATACACAATCCTCACAAGTGCGTTAAGGCTCCCGCTTACATCACTCAAATTAGAGCAGTTTCAAGCTGATTTAGCTGAGATTAGGTACATGTATAACAATCAACATAGAAAACTTGAATGAACAATACCAATTTCCCAACTCAGTTAGGGGAAATTCTCGTCATTATAACCCTAAGTGGGACCAAAATACCGATTTCAAACCCCAAAAGGGACGCCGAGGACCCCCGCCCTTTGATATTAGGGAGTCCAATTGGTCTATAAGTTCTTAAATGTCATGTGAACATTGAATTTCTAATTCTTTCTGACGTACAGTTACTGATCACTGATGATTTGTACTTCATTAAGTGGTTTTCTTTTAATCTAGAATACCAGCTGAGCTGATCCCTGATTTATCCTCTATTGTCTTTGGAGAAAGGTAGGGAAATCCAGATGGAATCAAGCAGCTTGTTGAAAATTGCCACCCCTGAAAATGACCCAAATTTAACAAAAATTTAAGGAGCTTTATCTTCTCGAAATATTCAATGAATATTTTTACTAATATTATACTGTTGAAAATCTTTTCAGTTGTGGTAATGGATTTTCATTAATGCTTTATTTCAATTGGCTAGGCTAACAGTATTATGAACAATTGACAATATCAAATTTTATTCAATWTCAAAAAGTTTTTTGTTGACATTATACCATATACTCTACGTATTATACCTATACGTATTATACCTACTGGTATTAATGGTAAAATATGTACCCAGTAGAAAAATAAGGCAAATTAAATAATAATAATCGCTATGATAAAAAAAGTCATTTGCCTGCATGAATTTATCATAATTTATTTTTTAATGTTGATCACAGGAGATCTGAATTAGACAATGCAGCCATTTCATCAGGGCTTCCAAAGTTAGATTCTTTAAGATGGAGAGTAGATGTTGCTATTTCTACAAGGTAAATTGATCGTTGAAAATCAATGTACACAATGTAGCAAGTGAAAAACGTTGTTTTTTTTGTTCAGAAGTATGCAGGCTATATCTAGCCTGAGTTTCATCTAGATGTTTACCATAGACACTGGATGGGTATTTTCAAGAATAAACTGGATGTATCCAGGCTAGCTGTATCTTCATATATTTGCTAATTCTCAAAATGCATAAGCATTACTTGCTCAATTGAGTAAACTTTTCTTCTAGTGCATTAAACAGGGTTTTGGAACCRTCWATTTTGATGGAGACACAGTTGAGTAATGGAAGTATTCAAACATTTGAGGTACAGTAATTCAGTGCAGATATTTAATAAACTGTATTGTATGCACCAGTAATGACTTTTTGTAGACTTAATGAATTCTTGCAGTTGTAAAACTGAACAGGTTAAGCATTACAGAACTATATGTAATCTATCCTCCTCCACAGGTGTCTCCTTCCTTTCAACTCTTCTTTCTACTCTTGGGCTTCCTGTCTTTCTCAAAATTGTAGCCTCATGCCCCTGCTCAGCCAAGAGGATACCAAAGGGATCCCAAAATGCTTGAAAATGCTTGGGATGTTATGAATTTTTAACATAAGCTGATACACCTACTTGCAGAAACATTGTCATAGAAAATAGAACATTCGAATTTAGCAAAAAGGAATAAATTAAAACAAGACAAAAGAAAGCGTTCAGCCTCAGTGATCATCCTTTGTGTTTTAAATTTATTCCTTTTTACTAAAATACAAATGTCCTATTTTTTTATGACAACGTTTTCGCAAGTAGGTGTATATGTTTTAATTATATTTCAGGTTCCTTTRTCAAAGTTTCATCAATTACGATACAATGTCGCTTATGTACTCAAAGAAATGGAAGATGTAGAGCATAAAAATATYCTAAAAATCCAAGATTGAATAAAAAGAATTGCTCTGCTTACAAATTATCTCAATAGAATAGCATTGTATATATGTAATGAAGTTTGATTAGATAATTTTGCATTTTCAAACAAAATATTTTCATATATCCTTRTAGATTTTAAAGCCATGTAGTTTTCCTAGAGTGTGAAACTACAACTTAYATTAACAAAATAATTACATATCCTTATAGATATCAAAGTCATGTAACTTTCATGTGTGAGTGTTAGACTGTGATTTTTGCATTGCCTGATTTCATATTGTGGGAAACWGGGTACAATTATTGCTGCATGATTTTATAATGAGTCTAGTATAGAACGAAAGATCTCACTGTAAATAGTATTGAAGCAAAGTTTGATGATAATCAGATTAATTGTCAATGTTTGGCAACTTTTCAAAAGTTCCAGATTTGCATAGTCTCCTTACAAAAGGGGAGGCTGCGAAGGAGACTAAGATTTGCAAAGAAATATAAGTATGGGATTTGGAAAAACCATAAAGACACACAGTCCAGCATCCTATACATTTCAATCCATGGTATGGCATCAGGCAATGATTCCTCATATTCTTCCCCCAAATAAGGCAAGATAAAGATATAATTGTTTCAGACTTTTTCAGTTTTTCAGATTCTCTGCTTTAATCATAATTATGTCAATGGTAGTCAGACATGGTTATTATGGACAAACATTTTTATGGAYAAGAATAACTAGCTTTACTTAACCAGCTACAATTAAGATAAAGTGAAAATTAACTTTAACTTTATCATGACAAATATCATAAAAACTATGATTCATACTGATTTTAATTCACCACAAATGAAAGTCTTTATAAAGAAGCCTTTTGTTTTTGTGTTGATGTATGTCTTGTCTCTTGAGCCATGTTTGTTTTCCCCCTCAGGGCACATTAAAAAAATTAACAAAAATGTCTGTAAAAGTTAAAAAAAAAAACTTGAAGCATCTTTCCTGTTATTCAAATAAATTTTTTTACATGTCTGTTTTTAAAACATTAGATTTTAATATTTTGAAAATCATTGCATGGATTAGTTTGTAGTTATGTCTTTGTTAGACATTACAGCTGGAGGTCCTCTTCAAAAAACTGATGAAGTCAAACTAAAATGTCATTATTATGTTCAGTGTTTTGTTAAAATTTCTGTGGGCAAATGAAAATAGCGGAGGTGAATTTTGCCCAGAAAGTACTTTTGTCTCGTCGACGCGGTACGAGTCATTGACGAGTTTGACAAAAATTTGCATTTACAATGGTATTTGCATGACAATATCTCTTTTACGATCTGACTCTGCGTTTAACGATAATTATGCATGTCGTTTTATATCTCATYAACGTTTTTGATATGTCATTTATTTTTCTAAAGCATACAACAATTGTCACGAAACTCTATTTCAATTTGTTTATAATAGCAAAAGAATTTTTATGAATTTTTGTGAGATGTACGATGCACTAGCTAATTTCGGTTGTTTTATTTTGGGAACCCTGCGGATTGGRGTCGCGGATTGGGAGTCGAGACAAAAGACCTTGGACACCGCCTTCCCTTGTTACCAATAGCTGTGCCATAGATAAACGTGAAKTGGTTTGAAAATTTCTTTTGATAATCTATTCATCTTAACTTGAACCCTGAACGCGAATTAGAAACCTACCAAGGTAAGGAGAGCCACTTACACAGTTGGATGAATTTGATTTGAAAAATCTGTTTACGTCTGCCACCATAAGGAGCGCAACTGATCGAGTTTCCCGAGAGAACGTTCGAGACACACTCGTTTGGAGGTCTTTTCAAATCAAACAGTTCAAGTTCATCTGCATTGCTTCTCTCTTAAGCAYTATGTTTAAAATTTCATATTTTAACAGTCATCACAATCCTACGGTCGCTGATTGGCATTTAACGCTRCCGACAAGAATTTTAAGAGCTCGCTTATATTTACATTTGTTTACTGTATAGCTTATCTATTTTGTTTTAAAGCCGCTGTATGAATTACATATGTACATATTTCCTGACAGTACTCCGAATCTTTCACTGACTGTAAAATAAGCAAAAGATGATAAATTCTATTGAGCAGGTGTTTAATAGTATTTGCTCTCAACAGATACAAAATGAACATTTTGTGGGCAATTATATGGCTTCTTGTTCTTTGGTTTCTTGCATGGCCCATTGGATTTTTCTGCGCGGGTTGGTACGTCTGCTTCTCTCCGTTCGAAGCCTGCATAGATGCAATAAAGCAAGTCACCGAATTACTCATGAAAGGAGTTCAGTTGCCATTGGAGGTCGCCAAGCACATGGTTGAAGGAAAAGCCGGATGGTAGTAGTCAACATATTTTGTACTTTGGACAARTTTCAACATTACCCTTCGCGGAACTCGCATCCATTCTTATTATTAAAGTCAAACTTTTTTTCTGAACACTTATTATCACGTAATTTTCATGTGTTATTCAAATTTCCCATTCTGTGAATATATCAACTCTGTTTGAATCTGAGTCTTTTGTCTGTTGTCACGTTGTTCCGCGGTGTGCGCTTTAGCCGACCTTCACGCAAGGACTGACTGGTGGATGGAGGTGGTACCGATATGACAAGGCATCATCATAGGAGGACCCGACGGGGTCTGTTCTTCTAAATAACTCTTCGTGTAAGAATTTTTTTTCATGGGAAAGGGACTTCGAGCTACATTGTTGACAATCCCGCCAGCATATGTGGCGTCCTTCCTTCCTTAAAATGATTTTGTTCCTGGCAAACGTTTTTAAGGTCAAAAAAGGCTTATATAACGTTTTTATGGTCAAAAACTGCATTTTTTTTTGTTAGGAAATCTTTATTTTCCTGGAAACAATTCTAGATAGAAGCCTTAGAAAGTATTCTTTTTTCCTGAATTTCTCGCTGGCAACCAGTTGTGCCTTACAGCTGGCTGGAAAATAAGAACATAAAAAGTGTCCATCCCTTTAAAAATATTGCTAGGTAAACCATAAGCGAGTATGAAACACGTTTATATAAATACACCATAAGGACGAACTTCTGACGAGTTGTCAAGCTGGGTCAAAAACAATTCTTGTTRTAGCCCACTTTCGTTCGTGTATAAGCTTAGTTAACCAGTACGTTATAATAAAACTCACATCACATATCCTGCCCRCTAAATAATTTACCCCTCCATAATCAATAGAACCAGAATAAGTTAGTGGAATATKAAACAAACTGCAAACAGCAATAAAAAAAACTTGTCACTGTATTTTTTTTTCTGAATACAGTACGTTCAAACTCACCAGCCATACTAACTCTGCCGTGCTTTTTCTTCTGATTTGGCATTACGTACACTTTGGGCTACCTGTGTAGTAAATTCACTTCCTGATCAGCAGTTGTCCACAAAGGCTAAAAAAAGCGCGCGAAAGACCAGACATAGTTCCGTTCAAAAAAGTCGGTTTGYATGTCATTATTAAATATTTTGTATTCAAGATGCACATATTTAGAAGGTCCATAAATACTGAATCCTCCGATTAATTAAGGTAGGAAAGTAAGCTTATTGTTCAGCTTTCATGGGTATCATTATAAGTTATAATATAATACTAACTAAGTCTATAATAATTACATTGACTTTGATTTCCATGCATGTGAGAGCAGGAATATTAAGCTTAAAGTTAAGCTTAAATGTAGTCAATGTATAAAAGCTTGATTTAAAAAAATAAATTTAGGATACATTCAGACTATACTTGACATTTCTTTAATTTAGTCACATTTTGGAATGGTCCTGTTTCTAATAAACTAGGAAGTCCAGTTTTCTGAGATTGTGATGTAGGATATTGTGTTCGCCCAGTTGAAACTAGTTGTCTAAGGCTATGGTTCATAAAACAGATATTCAAATGAGTATAAACATCAAATCCAGCTCCTGGTAAAAATGAGGCATATAGTGGATTTGCCATTACACCATACTCATTACTGTAAAACCACAACTCAGGACAGCATTATAAACAAACAATAAATTATATTTTATTTGTCAGTCAATTATCTTATGTTATACTGACTGCCTTAAGATAATTTTAACTCTAAGACAATTTGTTTCATAAAATCTTGAATGGTTTGCTATAGCATACACAGACCTAAATGACACTAATTTATACAAAGCTGTGATTGGTATTTCCATAATACCATTGAAAATAATAACATTCAAAATCAGTTCTAAAATCTAAATGATGTACACAATATTTAATTGTAATTGAACATGTTGACTAGTGCAAAGTTTCAGTCAAACATTCCATGCAGAYTTGTTCTCAATCTAGTGCCAGTTGTACAAATGGTGTATAATATAATRCTAGCCACCGGATAAATCMTTATCCAGCAGATAAAACCCACACTGGATAACTGATCTGATCTGACTGGATAACAGTACAACTGGCCCCAGGATATKATATTATATATACACTCAGTCATATGCTAAAATAGATACATTTTCATTTGACCATAAAACGAAAATGACTTATTTGTTGAGTATTTGTTGATTAAGAACATTAAAGAAAACAATAAGTTCAGAGTGTTCAACTAACTATTCAGTATCACAAACCTTTCATGGTCAAATAAAAATCAATCTAGTAAATGCAATACTATACACTTAAGAGACTATCTAAGAGTTTAAAAACCTTACTTTTTATGATAAAACATACAAAAACACAAAGATTAATAATATAAAACAATATATGTATTAATATTCCAATAAATTATATTTTTCCTCGGTTGGCTTAATGAATAATTTGATCCTTTGTGAATTGGTTATATAATACTTTTAAAAAAACATCTTTATCAAGAAATAGAAAATACATCTTAGTGATAATGGGGTTTGATAACATATCTTATATTTGCAAGGATTCTCAGGGATAACAGTCCACTAAATTTATGGTTGGGTGATCATGCAAGCACAAAATACTTGAAGGTGAAAYAAGACAATTAAGATACAAATAATTCCATAAGCTCTCTAGTAAAATTGTAAAATAATAAATTACATCCTAACAAGATGTGACTTGTGTAATGAATCATAGAAATAAAATATGGTAATAGTTGAGAGCACAACATATACCCATGAAAAAATGAACATACTAACGACAATTGCTCAGAAATAAACAAAAATTATCCAATCAGAAAGCAATAAAAACAGACAATGATGGAAAAGTTATTAACCAATCACATAACACTGTTTTCATGGTCATTACAATCTTGAATTAATAGCTGYAATATGATTGGATACTCATCAAATCAGTTAGCTTGTCCTCACTCCATTAATGTACTTAGTAGATGTTCACTGATGTAGAATTTGTGTTGTTTCAATGCCCAATTGAATAGATTCTTAGTTAAATAACTACATAGTGTCCATGCTGAAAGTACTATACATAGTAAGGAGTCAGTTGTTTCATAGTTAAATGCCTGCACTCTCATCTTTAAGGGATTTAAAGTTTGTTATACAATCAATTATTGTACAACACATCTGTAGAAGGGCTTTATGAATATAATAGAGTTGAGATAATCATACTTTGTCTTATGTACTGCCCTTTATGAATATAACTGCTGGGGCATGCAGCAGCAAAAGTCGTCCATCGAGAAGGGCATGACAACTATAATATAGATCACTGATGTGTATAAAAAGTGGAATTGACAGAACTCAGCTTGCCACTTGWGGTTTTGCTTTCTTCAAACTCACTTTCATAAATTCAGGTTTCATTTCTTCAATTTTTTTGGCATTTTCTTCGTCCTATTAAAAACACAGATATTTTATGTGATGAATATACATGTACATGAGTCATTGAAGAATTAAAAATAAATAAAATGGTATCTGATATTTCAAAYTCAAACATTAAAAAGAAACGTATTGCAAATGTATGATTGTGAACAAATTTACAAAAATACAAACAAACATACCACCTCTACAAACTGCTAGTCTCCTAGCAATGATCCCCCTCCCCCTCCCCCCCAGAAAATGAAGCTTCTTTTTTCAAGACAAAACGAGTAAATTAATGCAATATAAATTTCTCTTACCTCCAGTTTTTTYGATATTGTTTTTAGTTTTGTTGCTAGTTCTGTTTCACTTGAATTTTCTTTTTCTTTTGCRGTCTTTTTATTTTCAAACTTTTCCCATGTTTTGACAAGCTCTGGCCTTCCTAACTGAATGCCTCTACAATAAAATACAGATATTGAGCTTAGTCTTTTTTAAAATATTATATTAAAATATGTAATCAATGTGTACGCCTGATAAAATACTAAAAGTTTTTGGTAAAAATACTTACCTTTGTTGACTGAATTTCAAGTCTTTCTGAAGTTTAGTTTGTTCTTTTGTTCTGGCTTCTGGTTTGCTTAATTTTTTCTGCTGTGTAGGACTGGCATTTGTGATGTAGTCTTCGGGGGGATAACTTGGATGATTACGTCCTGTTTGTGAAAAAAAAGTATTAAGCCCTTGATATTTTAGATATTTTAAACAAAATCAACCCCAAGCTTAACGTTAACGATGGTCCTTCTAAGAATATGGTTCATAAAATTGTTATACAACTATTTGTAGGTTGGAGTAAATCTATACAGTATTTCTAAACTTTAATTAGATATAATATCTGATTTATTCTGTTGCCACTAAGGTAACACCTAGCCTCCTCCGCAGGCATCTCTCATACTCTCTCTCTCTCTCTGAGGAAGTCTGGGAACAAATATACAAAAGACGAAGGGGGGTGGGGGTTGTCCGCGCCTCTCACCAAAGGAAGCCCAACCGTTCGTAAATTAAAAGAATAGGAGTTATAGAGTTCCCTGCGGAGGAGGCTAGGTAACACCAGGGTTTTTTTATGAGGATGCAATTGTCAAATACATCCTGATAAGAGGGATAAAATACATACAAATAATATACTGTATGGAGTATATTGACCCACTCTTTGTTTAGTACAACACGCCCATGGGTCAACACCATTCATAATGCATAGTGCGTTGTTAAAAATTATGTAATATCAATCAATTTAAATATAATAATTTGCCATTAACTAGCCACATTGAGAGAGCCGTGGGTTGTTTATTGTATGCATTACAATATAACTATACACCCTTTTAATAAGTCCCGAGGTTTTGTGTTCTCCGCACTTGACGTCAAATTTATTCTTTTGAAATTTTTACAATACAAAAGGAATTCAAAAGAATAAATTTGACGTCAAGTGCGGAGAACACAAAATCTCGGGACTTATTAAAAGGGTGTATAACAGTAGCTGGTTTTTCAGTCAGGTCCATTATGATATTGAGGTTCACCACATGATAGTGCAGCTGGGCAACAGTGTCCCAGTGATTTCATAGCATATTAAACTAAATATGATTCAAAAAGAGCTCTGACATGGAAGTATACCTGATTTACATTGACTTCAAATAAAATTTTGGTTTAGACTACATGTAGAAATTGATGAATAAACTCATTAATGTTTTTTATTTCCTTTAAAAATTAATAGATTGTTTTAATTAATTTTGATGTAATTTTTATTATTAATTTAATTAATTATGAACAAGTGAAATATTTCTCTAAATGCCAAATTTTGTGAATGGTTCTGTATATTATTAAATGATTATCAATTTAATTATAATCCAACAAACATTATAAAATACCATGGAGTCTATCAAAATGAGATTGAATCTTTTTTTTTTGGCTTACTTAAATGTAAATATTATAAATGTGCTGGACTGTAATTTCTTGTTTTTATAAGCCCYGCCAACAATAGACACAACCACTTTATCAAAAAATAATTGCAATAAATTAGACTTGAAATAAGATCATAAGATAAGATTACACCAGACTGGCAGAGGATATTAAAAGTGAACGAAAATAACAATTTTATTAGATTAGATTGGATAGAGGTGATTTTCTGTATGAAACACTGAAAGCTAGTAAATTGTAATTTCATCAACCATTTGTTATCCAGTTATATCTGTAAAATAACTTGCTATTGTCTGATTTATATTAGTGGAGACACTAACAGTATACCATTCTTTCATTTTACACAATTGTACCATAATTTATTCAATATTATGTTACATGATTGTAAGAATCTTTTTATTAAAGATTTGAATCATGTAAAACTAAGATGAAAGATTATATTTTTACCTAATCCAGGCCAGAATTGAGTTTTGGCTGTAAGTTCACAGAGTCCATCCATCTTTTTATTTTCCGCTGATTCCATATATTCTAGCGTCTCAGGATCAACAATCGCTAAAAACTAAAAGAAAAACAATTGAACCATCAATACAACATCTGGGAGTTCCCACTATAAGCTCAATGTATAAAAATAATATTCTTGTGTTGTTAAAAGCTTTGAAAATAAATCAAACTAGTTCACGTATTCAGTTTCAAGACTTATCTGCCTTACTCTTAATATTATGAATTCCTACCGGAAAACTCAGTAAATCAGTTTTTTTTCAAAATCTTGATATTTTAAAGGAATATTTGGTGACCAAATTTGTTTTGAGTCAAGCAGAAGACAGTCAGTTAGATCTTCAATAAATAATGTGAAAAATTCAGGATGTGTTACACCTTCAGTAGTGTTGGCTTAATTTACAACTGACCAATCCAGAAGACCAAACATATAATACTTGTCACATAGAATTTTTCATGTTAAGAACAAGTGTAAATATTCACTTTTGCTTATGAAATGAGCCAGAATAAAATTCGTGAAAAGCTCAATTCTCACAAACATGATTTTATAATTAAAGCACTTTTTCGAAAATTTGTTTTTAAATAAAATATGGTGAAACTTTCAAAATGACGCAGTTGGAGTGTAGAATTAACATTGGATAAGAATATAAACAACATGCATGAGAGATATTTGACAGGAAATTCATGCAAATACAATCATTGTTATTACAAACCATTTTCGATATTACAGGATATAACATTTGAGTGCTCTAATTATTCTATACAATCTGACTCTTCAAAAGTTTCATTTAATGAATAATTATTATCGTAGCCAGGATGATGTCTTAATGATGATGTCATAATGAATATAAATTATTAGTAATATGATAAAAAATACAAGATGGAAAAAAATAAGTTTTAAGTTTAACCCCGGAGGTCTTCTGAGTTTGTTTCTCTAAAAAAAATACATTGTTATAATAATATATTATATATATCCTAATAAAATGTTCTCATAAAACATATTTAGCCATTTCATTTTTGCATTTTGCAAATGAAAAAGAATGCATGGAAATATGCAAGCTTACTAGTTAGGTTAATTTTGTAACTTATACGCATCATCCTTATAGTCCAGTCATTCTACGAAATGACCTGTCACTAATTGCAACAGAAGCTTTTTCTTCATTAACATGTCCGTTAGTATCCCATTAACTACCAAAAAAAAGTCCCAGAAGATTCGAGTAGGGGAAGGTCCTAAAAATCGGGTTTTTGTGTGACACTATAAAATTGCATATAAATGTACCAACATGGAAACGAGGCTGACACCGGAAGTTGCTATATTTGATCGCTAAAATACTCGATTATTATTTAAATCCACACAAAAGTTGTATTATTGCTCTAAGATGGTGAAAATGTTTTCTAAGCAATAGATTTTTACATTTTTGGCATTCAACTTATATCA